GGGGGCATCATATGTATACTGTAGGTTTAGAAAGTGATACAAGAGCTTATTTTACAGGAGTTACAATCTTAATATCCTTACCAACTGGCACAAAAATCTTTAATTGGCTTTGTACATATCTTGGAAATCCACCATCATTACACCTTAGAATTAGTTCTGTCTTCTTCTCACATATCTTTTTATTAATGTTTACTATAGGTGGTTCTACAGGAATAATTCTTGGAAATCATGATACATATGTTCAGCTAACAATCAGAGATTCAACCCAAAACATCGGGGCACCCTCGGCCGGCCAAAGCAACAAAGACGGAATGCCCACAGAATTAGAAAACAAGGCCCTTGCAGCGTCCCTTTCTGGAGAGTGGAGTTAGGGAATCTGCGTTTATATGTGTAGATATGTATATGATGCGTAAAAACAAGGTCCCCGCAGCGTTCCTTTCTGAAAATTAAGGCATGGGCCAGGCATGGGGTTGAGGGACTGGGCGGGTGGCGTTTGCATGACCGTGTGGAACGAGGAGCTAGACCTCAAGGCCAATGCAGGGGTTTCTTTACGAGCAAGAGTCGGGCAGGTGTAATAGTATAGAGATGCAGGTGGTCCTGACTCTTGAGTATCAGGCTGAATGCCAACGGCTTTCAGTCGCCAACGCCGAGCTCCAGGCATCTTTGGGGAGATTTGAGCATTACGGGCGTGAGGAATGGAGAAGATTTGCTAAGCTTGATGTCGCTCAGGCGAAGTGCATTTCATGGGAGGACCGCTTTGCCGTGCAGGAGGCGTGTGAGTGGGCGGTTGCTGAAGCAACGATTCCGTTGGTCGACGGCCAGCGTGTGGTATGAACATGTCAGGAAAAGTCCAGGGCAGCATCTAGGATTTCAGGGCTGCCATGCAAGGCCAAGAAGAAGGTAGCCCAGCGCCTCCTCCAAATCAAGGCGCGGCATTGCCATCTTACAGTCAATGGTGAATGCATTGCCGGCGAGGCCATGGGGCCGGGAGCACAGCGCGACAAAGCTTTAAAGGACTTGTGCTGGCCCAAGCACTCCAGCTTGGCATGGAGTGGAATGGAACTTCAGTTCTAGGTTTCGGCGTCGCAGTCTCCAAAGCGTGATTCTCAGGTTGTGCCAGTGGCACCCTGACAAAAATCGTGGCCGCGAGAAGGCGTTCAGCAGAAGGGGCAGTCTTGTCGACGGCGTGCAGGTTTGCTTCAGACGCAGGTGGCAACGGAAATCTTCCAGCTGGTGCAGAACTGGAGAAGCTCGCGCCTCGGATCGGGCTACTCGAGGGCATCGCTGATGCCATTGACTCAGGTTGAAGCTTCAAGCTGTCTGAGCGCTCGCTAGCGTAAACAGGAACCGTGCCTGCGCAAGCCGTCCGTTCGAAAGGGCACTCCCACTGCATGGGATGCCGACTAATCTCGGTGCGTGGGCTTTCGGACCAATTGCCAAATCATCTTGGGTCATTACAGCGTTGTTGTTTAACTGGACTTTTTTCACAGCTGCAGTCTGGGAAAGCCCATTGGGCTGGATCGACACCTAAGGACCTAAGGATTCTGGCCTATATGACCTTCCTTGCGATAAACCACGGTTTAGGATTGAGGGTTCGGGGATTGTAAACTCAGAAAAGTTCGGCGATGGCCGATGTAGCCGTGCAGTCAAAGTGCCTGTGTCTACATCCATAACCGACCGTCTGTCTAAATCGTCTAGGGCTTGAGATTTGAGGTTTGGCTTTGATGGCCTGGGGATTGCACAGTTCCCTTGGAAGGCTATCACTGATCGATCTCCGTAGCTCCTGCTTCCTCAATGTATCGCTTCTATATATACTTACATAGTTGTACATAAAAAACGTTCATATAAATATAAACACTATGTACATATATATATATATACATACATACATATCTTGTTGGTTGCTATTGCATTTTTCAAGTTCTCGTCGTCACGTGATTTCGCGCATCAAGAGTTTGATTGTAGCTTGGGGCGTGCACTTTGCCACGGCAGTGCAGCGCTTTCATGTCGGCATCTCAGCTGTTTGTTTGGGTACAGTTGGTGCATCAAAGCTCATTGTGGCAGTGGCAAAGGTGTCACTCTTCTGAATTTTTCGGTTCAAAATGAGGTCTGGTCATCTTCATGGCAAGAACAGTGGATGACTTCAAGGCCCAGTGCCCCACGTGAGTTCATGTGTGCAAAGATTCGATAGAGTTTTTGCGCGTTTCGCAACTTTGTTGGCCGTGGCCAATGGGCAGGAACAGAAAATCTGACGATTTTTTTTGGACTTGTGAGGCCCCTCAGCAGACGTGGGGTGTACAACTCAGTTTGCAAGAGTGTGCAATCAACAGAGACAGCCGCAATCAATGTCTGCCTTGAAGAATGACGGACGCAGTAGGTTCCACCTAAGCTAGGGACCTTCACGCTAACATGTCCTGTTCCGAGGCTGCTGAAATTTCCATGCTTGTTGAGTTTTGGGCCGCCTGTGCAGTGTGCGGATGTGTGCGGCATGTGAAGTTGCCGTTGATGCGGGGTCATTGCACACTTGTCAAGGTGACCAGATCCGCTCCTATGAGCAGGAGAAGAGACATGAGCGAGCCTCGGAGCCTCTTGGGGCCTTTTGGGTCTCCATGGGGGGCCTCTTGGAGCCTCTGCCTCTCGGAGCCTCCCTCGGCGCCTCTCAACCGGTAAGCCTCGACTCATCTGTGCATTTTTTCTCCCAGTTGTGAGGCCGTGGATTCGGGCTTGGTCAGCGGCCCGCCATACACTGAGTGTGTCACACTAAGGGAGCAGAAGGAATTCATGTCCCAAAACCACAAGAACCACTGAACTTCTTCGAGAAACCCTCCCTCAACTCTGTGCTGATTCCTTTGCGCAAACGAAGAGCAGCATGGAACAGCTCGAACAGTCCTGGGAACTAGCCGCCAGTCTTCAGTCTTCAACCTAGGGCAAGGAACCTATAAATTTGCCGAGAAAAGTCGTAAGGTTTTGAGCACCATGTCCACTGGCAGCGGGGCCCCCTCGAAGTCCTCGAAACTTCCGAGTTCAGGCCTCTTCGGCTTCAGCCAGGGATGTTCCAAGCTCAGGTGCGTGTCTGCTTTTCGCACACATCTCGCAGCAGGTCACTAAAGACTGGTTGTGGACAACAACTGTCGTTTTCAAATTCCATGACGTTTTGAGTGAGGTGTTTGTGTGTGGCATTTTTTCCTTGAGCGTTTTGTCAGTCACCCGGAGGGTTTGTACCACAGGCCTTACGGCGGTATCCTTGGAACTTTGCTCGTTGAAGCGTGAGACAAAGCTCATCCAGGGTCTGGACGCTTGAAAAAGTTTCATGTTCTTCCTGTACATTCCTGACGCAGACCCGCTGAAACCCGCCAGGAGAGGGTGTTCGATCCACTGCTCGGCAGGCCCGGATTCCCATCTGTTGGATAAGCTCAGACTGGCTTGGCCATGTAGAGCTAGAGCTGCAAGTGGCAGGTGCCCGGCCCGTTCAGCATTTGCATGGCTTATTTCCGCCCAAAAAAAGGAGAATGTTCGACACTGCGAGTTCAGGGCCTTTGGTGACTTTGGCGGCTGAAGTGACTGTACCAGCACCAGCTTTTGCTTGACATAGGCATTGTCGCGAGGAAATGTCACCGGGAAGCCTGCCCCACTCCTCAAGCTGTCCAAAGGTACCGAGACAACTCCACAGAGGACAGGGTGGGGGAATGGTGAAGTGGCTCGAGCGTGCTCACCTAAACCCAAGTCCTACACCAAGAAAGGGGTTGCGAAGGCAACAATATGCCGTTCCTAGGGGCACACAGCCAGGCAAACCAGCGGCATCTGGAAGAGCGTGAGCGGGTGGCGCACCTCAATCGCGCGAAGGCCGCAACCAGAAAGTCAGTTCTGAGCATCTCACGCGATTCTCAGAGTTTAGGTTGATATGAGTTTGAATTGCCACTTGCGCATACGGCTGTGTTATGTTCCCTCCGTTGCTGAGTGGAGTCGAGTGGCACATGTACCAATCTACACGAATTACACGTGGTAGTTCTGCTTAACTTGATCTAGGATATCCAGATCCTGCGAGAGCAGCCCTTTGACATTGTCAACCAGGAGACGGCATCGGTTTGGGAGTTGCAGAGTTAGGTTCAGCGTCGAAGTTGTGGGGTTCAAACACGTCAGAATGCGATCAGCTGTGGACGCTCGGCTTACCACCCCACCTTGCCTTAATGTCAAGTGACCCATATTTTGTTCTTGCATCTTGGTCTTGAAAACTGAGTACAGCTTTTTTTTACGTATTGGTTAACATTTCGAGCCTGGACCTACATGTGGCTGCTTCCCTTCATTCTTCGTCTCATGCGCTCTGTGTTTCAGCAGATAGGAGATGTGTAGCCCACAAATAAGATAGCATCATGAACATCAGCAGCACAATGCTGCTTTGTATGGTTGTAGGATGGCACCAGAGGCAGTGTGCGTTCGACACTGAGCCCAAGCCCAGGAGTCAAAACTAGAAAAGTTGGCTCCAGGCACGGGTGTGTGCAGCCCCGGGATTGTTGGGCTTGGTCGTTTCAGGCGCTGAAGCATTGCGCGGTTCAAGCACAGAAAGTAAACCCAACTGAGCAACTTGCTGGCTTCTCGGCTTTTCAGGGAACCCTGCCATTTTTGATCGAAACTTTAGCAAGTTTTTGTGGCCTAGACCCTTCTATATATCCAAGCGCGACATTGGGCTTGAAGCTATGCTGACATGGATTTGGCACCGTGATGTGCTGGAAGTGCAGTGCGTGCTTTTCTTGTGAAGCCATGAAGCCAGCTTTGGCTACGAACCAGCAAGGTCAAGGAGGAACCCAAGTTGTCAGTCAGAAGGTGAGGGCAGCGGAATTGTCATAGCTCACAGGTTAGACTGCATCATCCTCCACCGTTTGAATCTTACACGTTGGTACATTATGCAGAGACTTGAAAACAACTAGCGACAGATTGTGGCCGCATGGTCGCACACTTTTTTCGCAGGCAAGGACCCGGCGCGACTTGGTGGCCACGGCACGATGGGCACCAAGGAGCGCACGAAGGATGGCAGGCCAGAGTTGGGCAGCACATGATTGTAGCACCGTAAATTGCAAAGTCGTTGAAAGAATGGCCTCACACCCCCAATGAGCCTCAGAACCCTAGACTGCCGGACTTGGCAGGGGCAATTTCCCGCAGACTGCGGTGGACTACAACATCCTCTCCAACATGCCGTTTCGGGACCATCACTGGGCCAAGCTGGCATCCCGGCCCCCTGAGAGTCCCGAAGTGTGCTATGTACTAAGTTACTATTTTATGCCATTACCTTTTTAATTCCTATCATGCCGCTGAAGCTGGGGCATCCTCTTCTTCGCTGGCATTCCCACTTGCCCCAAAGACCTGCAGAGAGAGGTTCTTCAAAGGTTAGAGGAGCTTTCGTTGTTCGACACTCGAGGCCCGACGAGCGGCCTCACCTGAAGGAGAAGTCCCCAAGAGGGCGGAAGGCATCGTTGCTCCCGAAGACCAAGCCTGATTAGCAGAAGTGGGCCAGGCATGCTGGATGAACGCCCCATTCTTTTCTTTGCTGGTCTCTTGGGTTGAGGTCCATCCTGTTGACCTTGTGATGTTTTGAGGCGTTGCAGGTCTGAGATTGCGGTTACAGGCGTTGCGACATCATCTGATGAACTACTCCTGCTCCAGCCACTCGCAGGTCCCAGCATTCCTTTGCAAGGACCGCTGGGAGGGGAAGGGGAGGTGCAATATCATGCAATATCCATTGAGCCACTGGGTCTGGCAGGGAAGCCTTCAAAGTGGTTGTAGGCCCCTTGGGTTTGAAGATGTCTTAAGGTTAGTTCGTAAGGTTGAGGGTCATTGAATTGGCCTCTATGGCTTTGCTTCAAGCGATCACGAGTAGCGCGACCACCAGTAGCAGAGTCCTGCCGAATTCAGGACTTCGACATCATCAACAACCGCTACTTGGACAACCACTCGGCATCGTCCCAAGTCTTCTCTACCCCCTGATATATTTGTGAACACGCCTCCCCTGCAGCAGAAGTTGGGTGGCAGCCCGATGCAGCCCGATGCAGCCCGTTGGCTCTTCAGGATCCACCTGTGGGTTGGGCCGCACTGTTGCAATCCCCCAGGAGAAGTTGCGCCAAGAGAAGCATGTGAACTTGCTTGAGGCCGAGTGACCTACGGGATGTGTGTCCAACGTATGAGGGTGGCAAAGGTCATAATCAGTCATAGTGATTCTCCAGACGGATTGGAAGCTGTGCCGGTCATTCAATTGACCGCCTTCGAACATTCATGTCCTGTTCCCGTTTCGCAGCATCTACCTGCAGACCACGTCCACGGCTTGCAGTCAGAAGGCAGAGGTGAATCTGTCGACCGGCCACCGAAGGCTCCGATGCTCAAGGGCATAGCTGCAACACGTAGCCAGAGGATCTTTTTGAGGTCAAGATCATAGCAGCAACAGTAGGGAACCACAGTAACGACATGGGTAGAAGGAAGAGCGTTGCGAGGCGTCGTGAGAGCTACTCAGAAATTTGAAGAGTTTAGAGACGCTTGACTAACCGTTCTAACGGTCGAACCGTTCTAACGTTGTCTGAACAGCACTGAACAACGAGACCTCAAGCTCCAAAATGGAAGAAAGCCCTGAAATTTTTAGACTTCCCCCCCTCCTGACCTTGCAAAAATCCTTAGCCGGCAACCTTACGACTCTTCGGGACCTCTGCCCAGAATCCCTCCCCGAAGCGAGAACATTGGGAAGCTGGAGTGCCAGCGTTGCTCTCGTGCCATGCTGTGTCCACCACAGGCCAGGGGGCGAACTGTGCATGTGGGTAAGGGGTAAGGGTTGAGCATCATTCCTTGACTCGGCTAGTCTGCTGCGAAGTGGAGAGAAGCTCAGAAGTCATAGGGCATGCTTGGTTTTCAGTTGAGGGATGTTTGGTGAAGGTTGTGGAACCGCATTAGTTCAGCGGGCAGGATCTCGACCTTCAAAGTGCCCCGTAAACTTTATGCTGCCGAGCTTCCCCTGATCTCGTGACTTTCATCCACCTACTCAATCCTGTCATCCCTCCTCGAGCTCCACTCCGTGAACCCATCGGCGAAACCCCAGTTGGACATCGGCTTGACGCTGCCACTGTCCCCTGCGCCCCATGGTCAGCTCCTGCGCGCTGTTCTCGGGATGTGTGATATAAACCGATCAGGAGGGTTGTCAAGCTTTGGGTTGGCACTTTCGTGTCCAGGGTTTCAAGGGACTAGGAGGTAGTTCAAGCCATCCCCTCATGATTCACGGGCTTTTCGAAGGACAGCTGGTTTGCATGGATTTTGTGGAAGTGGGCTTGCTCTGGGCCTGTTTCAAATCAAGGGCTGAAATGCTCAGCCCCAATTCCCACAACACAATCTATGGGTGCAACAGTGTTTAGCCCTTCCTTCTTGTATGTGCTTCAAGAATCTGGAGTTGCCCAGCACACGAACTGTGAATCTACGTGAGCAGTGGTGAAGGTCGTTCTTTGCGGCTTGGCGCGAGATTGAAGTGTGTTGTTGGGCGGCTGAAGCCGATCGGATTTCTGGGACGCTGTCTTGGCTCCAGGGGAGCATCCCACTGGGGGCCCTTGCTAACAGCACTTACAAGCACTTCGCAGCACTTCGCAGCACTTAGCAGCACTTGCAGCTCCGCCTGGGTGCCATGGTGGGCAAGGAGGATTCCCTCCCCTTTGATGAGGCTTTCCGCCCCTGGGACATCTGGGGGCTTCAGGATGGCGCAGGTTTTTTTTTGTTTTGAAGTTCAGATTCAGACCCACTTCGACTTTTGTGATGCGCCGCGTAAGAGCTGCTGCCTTGTGTTGAGATGAATGGAGTTCCTTCTGACAAAATCTCTGACTCTGCACAGCCATGGGGCCATGAGCTCCTTGCCACCCGAGGCCGCATCTTTGCTTTGGCCTGGCCCAGCATTCTCTCGGAGCTCTCGACGCCCTTCCTGGGCCTTGTGGATACTGTGGCACTCCGGCTGAGGTTGTTGTGTCGATGAGGTGAGATTGCATAATCGTTAGACTACAGCCGCAAGCTCTCAAACCTTCTTTATGCACCACCCGGCCTTGAACAACCTTCTTCTAAAGTGGAGTAGCTGTTGGTAGCTGCTGCATTCCACTTCCAACAAGGCCCAAGAGCTTGCCCCAGGTTGTGGGGCACTTTGCCGAAGCACGTGACGTGGCGTCCTTGGCCCTGGCATTGGCGGCCTACAACCCATTGCTGCTGGCGAGCCCGGGGTTGGAAGTGGGGGTTGGGTCGCACTCACGCAAAGGCGAAGGCCTTTTTGCATTATCGCTGGACGTAACAAGTGCATGTCTCTTCGTTGAAGTCATTCTTTCCCTTCTTTTCAGGAGCTTAACATGTTCTCTTTGCAAGCACGCTTGCGTTTCATTGGCATCGGGGATGCGCCCGGGAAGTTTTGCAGGTTTCAGGCGAAGAGCTCATCAGACAGGAATGTTGATATATGTTGTTATCAAAGCCATCACACGCCGCAAAAGTGGGTGGTAAGAAGCATGCCTTGCCTGCAGTCATGCACATTGGCGGCCTCTAATCCAGTGCACCTCGCGAAGCCGCGCAGGATGCACTGGCCCGCAAGCACGGGGCACGTTCTTGTTTTGGATGCCTGCCCTGTCAAAATTATACCCATGCCAAGATCTTCTCAATGCGCAGGTCTTCAACTTTCTTCGCATGGGCTTCGGGGGTGTCACGGCCCAGGCCAGGGGCCCGAGAGTTGGATGAGGGAAAGATGACTGTTGCAGGGTGGACTTCATGCTGACGTGGTTTCGTGTATGCCGTAACCTTCCTGCTTTAGTTTCCCTAGCCTGAATGCAGGATGCTAGATGTGTCATCAGGACAGGGCATCGCAGCAAGAGCTCCCCATTCACTCAAAAACAACACTTAGCCACTGGGTTCTGGCGCCTGATTTTGCGTGGGTTGTTTCTGGCGTGAGATGGTCGGAGATGCAGTTTTGAAGGCTGCATGCTTTGAGGGGCCTTCTGAAACTACTTCTTTACATCAAGGGTTTTGGGCTTTCATTGCTGTCTCTGCATGGCAAGCCTCAAAGCTATTGACACGAACGGTTTTTGTGCTTCCGGGAAGAGAAAGCCAAGAGTTTCACTCTGTGTGTGGGTTGAAGATCTCTCTAGGTGATGTGTTTCCGCTAAGATTCAAGAAAGCTTGCGGGTAGTATGGGTGCTGACAGACTTGCAGAGCATAGGATTAGGGCTACATGCAGTTACTTTTTCTGGATCGTTTTGGACTCACAATGTAGACCACAGTCGGACCTGCAGCAAGAAAATGCCTCAGCCGCAGCCTTCCAAAAAATTGAGAGCAAGATAGCTGACGGGCCCCACACGTCATCCAAGACCCATCGTGCCCGGGATGAAGACTTCGTGATTGCGATGCAAGAGCGAACCGGACGTAGTTAACCGTCTCCCCCTCCCCCCTCCCCTCCGCGCCCCCCGCCCCCCCTCATGCCCAAACAAAGCAGGAAACAACCACAAGCAGAAGAAACCCAGCAGGAAAACAGAGGAAACGACCAAGCAAACAAAGGCGCCACCGCCAACTACCGAGTCCCTGCCCCGACTGCCGATTCTTCAAGACGCCCTAAGCGTTCCCGGAAAATCCCACAGTCGAGGCATACGGCGCCAAGGACAGCCAGGAGCTTGCCGCTTGCGCCTTGCGCGGCCTTTTTGTCGGATCCGGCCCCCCGACCGAGTTCTGCTGTTGATGTTGGGATGACGGAGGTTGGATGTGATTGGGATGTGTTTTGGATGTGCTTGGATGAATTTGGGAGATTGGGGCGCCGCTTAGCATTCAGGTGTCTACGTCCAGTTGCAAGTGGCACTGAGCGCACGATACGGTCCACTTGACATCCACACTGCCTTCATGCCCCTCTAGGTCTCGCGTGCACTTGGTCCAGCTGAATGAAAAGCAAGCTGGCTTCAACAAGCCCCAAATTCGCCAAAAATGATGCTCTGCTCCCAGGGCTGAACAGCTTAAATGAAGGCTTGAAGCTTCTAAACACTGAAAGCCCATTTCCCCCCCCCCAGCCCTCCCAAAAAAACAACTTTTTCCAATCTCGACTTGACCCAGTCCTCGGGACCGGGCTCTGCCTGCTTCGTGGAACCCTGGCGCAGCTACTTTTTGGCTTCCTGCACGTGCCCGATGAGGCCTTGGGATAGCTGGTTACGCTGGGTTCAGTGGGTAACTTGGGTTGCACGGATTCTAGAGATTGGAGTTTTTTGCAAGGAGTTTGAGGACTCAGTGGTTCGAAGCTGCAGTCTAAGTTTACCCAGGAAATTAGAGATTCCGGGGGTGGGTGCGAGGGTTCAAGCTTCTTGGATTCGTAGTCAAGGGTTCAGGGTGCCGAATATCTCCGAACTCAAGTCTTAGTGTGTGATTCCCTGCGCACTTCATATCTTCGTTTACCGTGCGAATACGAATATAAGCCCGTAATAATACTGTAATGCCAAGAGATAGAAGTGAGCCTGCGAACGGGACACAAGATTCATCCTTTCCTGCGGTCTTCAATCTCTAGCCCCTATCATCCTGGTCTGTGAAGTGAACAAGGAACGCGTGAATTTACCGAGCGAAGAGAACGTAACCCGGGCTTTTATTATAATTATGTGAACGAAATATACGCCCAGGATAATATGAATAAAGGTGTAGTGAATGAATGAGGGCGTTTTGTAATGAATAAGTGAAGCACGAAAACGCCTGAATGATTGAACGAAACAAGAACGAAACCAGTACAAGAAAAGAAGATAAGAAAAAGAAGTAAAATACCAAGAAATAGATGAAAGAAATGTAATGCTGTAAGAAAACAGAAAAACAACTATAAAGTTAATCATTATTCGAATATGCGAGAATACGAATTGATCATCTTGATTTGGGCCCAGGGCAAGGGCAAGAAGGGAAGCAAGGGCAAGGGCAAGCGCTCTTGTGAGGACAGTGCTTTCGAGTGCGGGATTTTAGGAGGAGAGCAAGGCATGTCAACCCTCCTGAATCAGCCGCACGAAAAGATGTGACTTTGTTTAGTTTGTTCCGTGACAAATTGGACTGGCGTGTTTCTTCACGTCAGTGGTGAGTTTCCATGTATCACGTTAGGTCATGAGTCAGTTTGTGAATGTGGAGCCAGTTTCCCTCT